ACTTTCTCAAAAATTAAAAATGCTCAAGGTTGGCCAGATGTAAAGAATATATATATCTAAAATCATTTCTGTGGCGGATTTTTTCTTCTTTTTTTTTTCTTTTCGTTTTTTTTTGAGCGCAATATTTGAAAGAACTTTGAAAATTTGTTTTATTTATAATTTGTAATTAATCAATAGCATTACAGTTTGAATAATTTTATCAAAATGATATAAATAAAATATACTGTAAAATATTAATGCATAACGGAAATAATAACACCAAATGATCATCGATTCAATTTCATTAAGCACTTTTCTTCCACCACAAACAAAAAATATAGCAAAAAAAAAAAAATTTTCCTTCCACTCTTCTCTCTGCATACTCTCTTAATTTATCGTTCTCTTTCTTTTTTTCACCTTTCCCTTTTTCCTCTTTTTTTTCTTCCTTTTTTTTTCATCAATTTTTTGACACAAAAACAAGGAGTAAATGATGACGGAGAAAAAAAGAAACAGGAAGTGATGGATTACGTTTTTATCTGTTAGCTATCAATCGTTTTTAACATTTACAACTCTCTTCTTTTTAATTCAACAATCATTTTCAATTTATTTTATCCATCCACTTTAGCTATTAGCATTAACAAACACATTCAGTTTGATTATCATCCGTTTTAACTGCCAATTCTTTTTTATTTCTCTTCTTTACATTTCATTACACAAATTGGGAAAATAACATCATTTTGACTTCATTTTTTACTTCTAATTTTTCTAAAAAATTTCATTAAAATTAAAAAATCAAAAAATTTTATTAAATGTATCTTTTCCCTTATTAAATCAGTTTTATTGTTGTTGTTTTCTCGTTGAAATATTTTTACATGAATGATTGAATTGTTAAAGAAATTTCAATTCGTTAATTGTTGCTTTTCTTTTATTTTAAAACTTTTACCGAAAGATTTGTTTGATGAATGATTGAGAATAATAATGATCGAACGAACATTTCAAAAAGCGTTTAATTTAAGATGAAAAAATTTCATACGAAAGATATTTCAAATCAATGAATGATTTTTAGTATTTTGTTTAACTCTCAAATTGGAATTTTTAATTTTGAAACGATTCAAATTGCGTCATTCCATAAATTTCGAAATTAAATTGAAATTTTATCTTTCCTTTTTAGGCATCAATGATTTTTATTGACTGCATCTTCTTTAAATTCTATCTGAATTTTATGTCATAATTTCAAAGCAATAAATGATTCGGTATTTCCAACATGAATTATAAATTCAAAAACTCATCCTGAATGCTTTAAATTCAGCTTTTATTATCGTCATCTGTACTTGTTTAATCAGACACCAATAATTTGATGCTTATAATTAATTAGGTCAAAATTTTGATGAATCTCATAATTGATGACCTATAGCTAATATTAATATTGCCAGCTAAGTGTTACTGTTGAAAATTATATGTTTAAATTTAAAAATACAGCATTCATTCAAAATGTTGAACTGCTCTCGAAATATCGATAATTTATCTATTTGGTATGAAATTTCATCGAGTAGTATCCCAGGATTAAACATTGACTACCAATTTTATTATCCATTTCAAATTTTTAAAATATTCTTGTAGTATTTGATAAACCCACTTCTCAATTCTAATATTTGATAGCATACTTAATAATGTATCTATCGATAATTATCAATAGATAGTTCATTAATAATGTATGTGTTTGTTAATCGTTTGTTAAATATTTGCTAACTTTTGTTCAGGAAAAGAAAAAGAAATTAATTATTTAGATTGAATTGGAAATATTTAATAATTAAATCATAGCGAACGGTTTATATTGGAAAGAGGACGATTTGATGTTTGTAAATTGGAATTTATTTATTTAACATGCAGCAACGATTGATATTTATTCATTAAACGATCAACTACATAACAACAAGTTGAATATTTTCTGAATAATGCGCAAATTTCATCTGCAAACTAAAAATGATCATTAATGCTATCGGAAACGATTTTTTCTTTTTTGATGAATGATCATCAATTTGAATGGTGAAAGTGTAAAAGTTATTAACGGTAAAACAGAAAGTGGTGCTGAATTTTGAAGAGATCATTGAATGGAAGGTAAGAATTGATTGAAAATTTTTATAACTATCAATTACTCAATCAAGCTTTCATTAATATTTTCCAATTTTACTATTACTTATTCTAGTTTTATTGTTCATAAGTATATTATGCGAATTTTCCGATGATTTTTTTCACCTAGCATAATTGAGTCTTAAAATACAATGTAAATCTTAATTAATGAATAGAAAAGTAAGGATCAATAAATGAATTAAAGTAAAAATTGAATTTGCTAAAATTTCATGTTGTTTCTTCCAAAAAAAGTTTAATATTTTAGTTTGATATTTTTTCATTCCTTAAGCGTTCACCTATACTATTTATTCTATTTGAAATACTATTCTATGAAATGAGTTAATGTAAAAAGTTTAAGCAGCTCAATAAATAGACTGTATATTTAAATTAAAATTAATACCAATTAAAAAAACTTTTAACCTTTGAAATAATCTTTGAAAAAGTCTTTCAAGTTACTTTTCATGTGTTAATTTTAATTTAAATATATAATTAAAATTAAAAATTGAAAAATTTAAAATTTTTTTTGCTATATGCACATTATTCAACTGAATTTAATTTTAATTATAGCAATTTTCTTTAAAATCAAAATTGATCAGATTGCTTTATTAATGTTTTAGGTCAAGAGTGTGACAGATGGCGACAGTTTTGCATGCAGTACGCAAAGTCAGTCGCTTTCAAATTTGCGGAAAGTTGGCAACAATATTCAACAAATGCTGGTATCATTCAAAGCAATATTCCTATTTCGGATATCGTTCAACAATTTACCAATACATTAAGTGACGAATTGACAGAACGGCTTACAACACCGAATATTATTCTACCTGTAACTACCTTTCTTCAATCAGTACGCATTAATATCCTCAATTCCAACTTCCTCTTCCATTTTTCACTTCTATTTCATTTGTTTAAGCTTCATTAATTTATTTCATCCGTTTATATCATACTGATAAGAAATGTTAAAGGTCATATTCTTCTTTGATATTTCTGCTTTCTTCACTCATAACAACAATCTTTGTGAAGAGAAAAAAGGATGAAAACTTATGTTTTCAGTTTTCCGCATATGAATTTTATCTTTTCTTCAGTTTAGATAAATAGTGTGTAAAAGGTCAGGAGGATTCAGGATAAAATATTTGGATGACTTAAATCAAGCTGGAAACATTAATTTATTGGAGATAGCTAAATCAGAAAATGAATTAGATAGGAACTGTAGTTTAATAAATTGCCTAACGACTCACATATTAATTCCTAAGCCTAAGCCTATTCATTCTGTTTACTTCTCTGATTATTTTTCGAAAATTCTCAGTTGATCATACATCACTTCACAAGCAGTAAATTTACCATACTGAACGCGATGCACATTTCTCAACGTGACATGACATAATGTGACGTAACATGATATCATATCTATTTCTTTTGCACAGTACAAAGATCAACTGATGTTAAGAAAGTTACAGTACTAAATGTGGTTATCATTAGTTTCAGATGATAAAAAAGATTCGCAGTGGGCAATGGTCAGAAATATTATTCATTCCATACTTATTCTGTATGTGAAGTGATTAATCTGAATTGTCTTCTGATCATTAAAATCTTCTCATTTTCATATTTATTATATCTTCTCTTCATTTCATTATCTTTGTATAAAGAAAGCAGAATTTTTGTGATAATTGAAAATGGTCAATCAATGATGGTCATTTTTTTTGTAGAAGTTTTTTTGCATTTGCATAATTTTCCAGAATGTTTCATCCAATCGTACAACTGCTGATAATGTTAACTATCGTGAACGCTCATTTGGTTGGAGATCTCTGAACGAGTATGAGCGACCAGCGAGTGTCGGTAATATTACATGGTTGTCACGATCGAGATCTGAGATGGCCTCAAGAGGACGCAATATGTTGGTCAGTTCAATTTTTTTCAAAAACTTCTCTGTAAAAAAAAGCAGGTAGCCATCGTTATTTTATATGATAGGGCTATGTTATAATTAATTGAAATAGATTTCATCCATTAAAAACTGATAGTCTCAAATGAATTTTATGATATCCTATCATCATTGATAGTTTTTTTAAGTTTTCAGATTGAATAAATAGCAGCTGTAAAAGTTTTTTTCTTTTAACTTTCAGGTAGACTCAATGATTCACCATCAACCGGCATCCTCTAATTCTAGTCGGCCATCAGCCAAGCGACTTTCTTGGTTTCGGTCACATTTTCAAGCTAAAACAACAGTTGAATTAATTCGAGAGGGTAATGTAAGGTAGGTGTGATAATGCATTTCATCGCTTGTAGAATATTTCCACATCACAAATAATCAAATATTTTCTAAGTAATATAATGAAACTTTTCGATTGGCTTTTTCTAGTTAGAAGAAGCGCAATTAGAGAGGCGAAAAAGAAGGAAAGGAAAAGATTGAGAATTATGATCAAATAATCAATTAATTAATGAAGATCCATTCTACACAAAAAATCAATTAATTAATGAAGATCCATTCGAAAAGACAATTCCTCTTTAATTTACTTTTTTAAGTCAAAATAATTTCTCTTAATTCCTCAAATTAGTTCTTCTTAGATTCAAAATTCGTAAATAATTGAACAGAAAATATTGTTTGAATTAAAATATTACTTGAATTGTCACAATCAACAAACGAGCTTAGTTCTGAATTATTGCTATGCAAATATTAACTTAAATAATTAACATTTGCTTGGTAAAAATAGAGATTTAATAGTTTAGTTTTTACATCTGACCTTTTTTTCTTTCTTTCTTGATAATAGTTTGTTTGCAGATATATGAGTGGCTTGGAACTTGAAGCGAAACAATGGCGAAAATGTCGGCTATGTCTTGTGAGAACAGCTGGTGGATATTTGTTGGAGTTTTATTCGCCACCCAAAGTAGGCAAATTTTCAGCTTGTTCAATTTTTTCAGATCTTACGATCATTTTTTTTTTGTGGATCATAATTTGTTATCACTAAACGTCAATAAGGAAATAGATTATCAAAAATATTCGCCAGCAGATGATATCGAAGTTTCTAGAGATATATTTACTTCAAGAATATCAGTTTTGAATTTATGCATATTTTTTCTTGCTAATAAAAGAATGTAACTACAGGAAAATTGAATTTAAAGAATTGAAAATCAGAGAAAAGAATTTCTCAAATAATCTATTCCTCAAATCACTTTTTTTTGCATATGAAATCAATTTTACTGTAATAAATAAATCATTTATCCATTCGTTGAGGTGTATTTTCAAAAATGTCCGTTTGCCAATATAAATATTAGAACGAATATAATTGATAATTATAAGTTTTAAAATTTGAAATGATACAAAATGCGTTTTGATTACATAAAATTTCAATTGAAATATTATACATCTTGGAAATGCGATAATTATTTAAATTGGAAGAAACTGATCCATCCATTTAAAAAAAAGCACACTTTTTAGAGCAGTCGAGCGAAATCAGGCATCTTCTGCTTTCTGATAATGGAAGTTCGGGAAACGACACCGCTAGAATTTGAGGATGGAAACGAATCGATATTTGCTATTCGAGGATATAACGATGTTTGTTTTAGCTCATCGTAATTAATTACAACCCATCATATTGAATTCTATAACTTTTCAATTATCAAAAGAACAAAACGTTCATCTTTTCAATTGATTACTGTTATTATTACTAATTATTGTTATCATTATTTTTATTATTGCTATCGCTATTATTATTGTCACTATTATCATTATTATTATTATTGTTGTTGTTGCCGTTGTTGTTGTTGTCGTTGTCGTTGTTGTCGTTGTTGTTGTTGTTGTCGTTGTTGTTGTTGT